ATTTTGAAATCAATGCCTAGCTGATGTTGTGGTCCGGGTTATGAATACGGTGACCTTCTCCTTCTGACACCCCTTGTCGAAATTATCGTTGTATGACTTCCTGTCTCCCACCAATAATGGTCCCGTCACATGCCCTATATCATTTTTTGGAAGCAAACTCTAACGGCCACTGGGACGAGCGCTATGGATTTTGTGACAAACAGACTCACGCACACCCACACTTACGACGTTTCGACTTAGCGGATTATATGTATGTAACCAGTTTGGCTGCCACGCACAACTGCGCGCATCTTATGGGGAAACCCTGCGAAACTGATAATTTACCGTACATTTGTACTGATCCCTATCGAGATGCCTTGCGTTCCGTTATTGGGAACTAGCCTCTCCTTACTTGCTCCTATAAATGATCAATTGCCCGTGTTTATGCTCATAGTCTTGTAAAACATCTACCATTTGTTGGAAGTGCGGACAGTCTAGCGGTCGAAAACTTTTTGATCATAGCAAAATGAAAGTGAAATGTTATAATTTACTGCTTTCATATCCATGGTAAAACAGTTTCGCACATCCATCCGCACTTGGTTATCTAGGTTGTTATCAAACCTCACTGGGCAATTAACTCCCAATTTTTTGGTTGCTGATTTTTCCCCTTTCCAGCGCATTATGGGTCTCCCATCCTCCTCCTCCCCCGCCTCCCACGGCGCTGGACATGCGTTAGAGGAATAAGTTTACTATGCACCTATACACAGCCTGCAATACCAAATACTTGCGCCGCCGTGGGACCGGTGCTATGAATTTAGTGACCCTCCCTTTCTAGCGCTTCCTATCAGCTCTTATCCGTTGTTATCACTTTCTGTCACCTACCAATAACGTTCCCATCACACTCCATCACTTATCAATTTAAACTCTCTATGGTTAAATCAAAGTTTCGAATATTCGGCCACACACACACACACACACACACACACACACACACACACACACACACACACACACACACACACACACACACACACACACACACACACACACACACACACACACACACACACACACACACACACACACACACACACACACACACACACACACACACACACACACACACACACACACACACACACACACACACACACACACACACACACACACACACACACACACACACACACACACACACACACACACACACACACACACACACACACACACACACACACACACACACACACACACACACACACACACACACACAACACACACACCAACAGACAAACTTGGAGGGGGAATTGTACTAGTAGGATTAAAATCTCCCAGCGTTGCAAAGTATAGGAGCGCTGTTTTCCGTAGGGAGATTTCTATTAACATTGCCTTTGACAGTTTAAAAGCCGTGTTCGAGACCGTCCGTGTCTTGCTTGTAGGCACTTCGCGGAAATATTTTGCTTTCTCGTTGGACTATATTACTTAGCTTCTGCTGTGCAACTTTGAAGCCGTCAACGTGGACAGCAGTATACAGGGTTTGTGGGGATTTCTGTGGAGGAGACGGGCAAGAGAATCGTAACATTGCCGCTCCTTCGCGCGCGGCAATGGGCGCGACGTCCTCAATGTTGCACACCCTTGTTCGTTTGAGCATTCGGGACTTCTATGTAGACAAGGGCCTGCTAGACATGGTATGTCTATTTTGGTCGTACAAATTTGTCTGCTTTACAACCAAGCGCCAAGTTTCCCTCACACGTGCGACGATGGAGGACCAATGGTGGCTGGAAACAGGCATGTTTTTCTAAGAATAAAGATGGACGAACAGCCAAGTTTGTCGTAAACGTGTCCCTGTGGGGGTAGCTTGTCCCTCTGAAATGAATACCACAGCTGCTTGGCACGAACTACCTGGCGCCCGCGCCACAGACGTCGGCGTCAAAATACCTTAAATCACCAAATTTGAAAAACTTGGTCGTGGGATAGTTTGAACGGCCCACGTAACACGAATATACAATCGTTTGCCACGAGACGCCTGGCAACAATATCGTAAACCACCAGACTAGCTGAAAAATTTGTCCTAGGATAGAGTAGTAGTTTGAAACCCCTAAAACAAGTATAAAACCATGGTCCATTAAAGGCACAGTTCGCGATTGCAAAACTGCGGGAAAACGTAACTCGAAATAAGGCACAAAAAAACCGTTACTTAAGTATATCTTGATTAAGCGTAAGAAAAAAGCAGCAGAAAAAAGCAGTAACGAAAAAGTTTATAAAGAAGATACAGCGTTAAGCGGCTACTAGCTAGTAGCTAGCAGCCGGTGAGGGTCGGCATGGGCCTAAGGGGTGTCCATGGGCCTAATTAGTCAGCTTCTAGCGGAGTTCTTGCCGTTTTTTCACATTTTGAAAGTAACGCAGCCTCAAAACAATCTGCCTTCCGGGATCGATCCAACACCATTCGCAGACTCATAGCCTTTATCTTTATCGCGAATGTTCCTTTAAGCGTTTCGGCGTCCGTGAATCCGATTTTCCGTGGTGGTGACGGAAAAAACACTCTGTCTTTGTGTAGCACGGGCGCACCCAATTGCTGGTCTGACAGTTATTCTTACTTATATATATTAAACCGCTAGTGTGTCCTGTTGGCTGGTGTGTGTGTGTATGTGTTTGTGTGTGAATGTAATGGTTTGTGTGTCTGGTTATGTGGATTTTGGACCCGGAAAATCATAAGCTTTGCTTTCAAAAACGCGTATGGCGCTTTCAATTGAATAGGGTGATGTAGTGAGTGTTGGGGCCAGGGAACAACTATTTGGTAGGGGGCAGGACGTGATGACAGCTGATAAGATAACATGAGGAGCCTTAGAAGGGAAGGATCACCATCTACATAACGCGCGTCACAGCAGCGGTAGAGCGTTGGGTTCCAAGCAAGTTAAGGTAGGGGACACATGGACTGGGAAACATTTATTGGTTCGGTGTGCAGGGAAAGTGATAACAGCCCGATAAGATTACCATAAAGGATCCTTAAGGTATGGATCACCCAAATCACAAACCGCGGGCGTTCACAGTCAAGCGGTTAGAAGCGTTGGTTCCAAGAAATAAGGTAAAGAGGAACAGGATTGGGAAAACATTCAACTGAGTGAGGTTGCAGAAGTGCATAGCGCTGAATAAGATACCATGAGGAGCCTTACAAGGGAGAGTCACCAAATTCATAGCGCCGACCACGGCGGCGACGGGACGTTAGTTTCAAGATGCAAGATAGTGGGCAAGATGGGAACCATTATTGACGTTGGGTGCAGCACTGTTGATAACAGTTGATAAGATAGCCCCAAAAATTCACAGCATAGTTGTGGCATTACTGGACTATTGCTTCCAGCAAGTGATTTAGAGGTGCTTAGGTAACATTAGTAGTGGGAGATAAGCTCTGATAGTGTCTGACAAGGGCTTTTAGGAGTCGTATAGCTCAAATCACCGCGGCCAAGGAATCAGTGGGCAAAGGTTCGGCGAGCCAACATGTTTCTATGTTTCTATTCCTTGGCGATATGGTCGGATTTGATTCGACCGCTAAACTGTAGAGTTTCAACAAAAAGTGAAAGCCCCGAAAGTTGCTCAAATGATGTACTAGGATGTGTGGACATTTCACATGATATCGATATTATTACCCTCGAGACTCTTTCAACCGCTAGGCTGTCCTATTTCCAACGAATGGCGAGTGTTGTCAAAAAGTGATAAGCGCCAGTCATTTGTAAATGTTCATTAAAAGGGAAAAATACGATGAAGTTGGCCGTATTATGAAGAATGGAATTGGGCCAAGTGTTGTGCTCAGCAGAAAAACCCCCTGATCAGTACCTTAGGTTCAACCATGCGCGCAGTACTGCGCGTTAGCCAAACTGGTATTATATAATCAGAAATCTAACGCATGGTTCATTTTCGTTTTTATTAAATTAGTTCAAGACACAACACCATTTTCAAAGGCAAGGGGATGCAATAAAGGATCTTTAAGGGAGGTCAGACCACCCCCGCAGACAAAATTTCAATGCCAATCCCTCCACAGGAAGATACGTTTCGGAAAAAAAAATGGCCTGGTTTTGGAAGATTGGAGCAGTAAAAGCTAAATTGTGTCAAAGATTCGATATTCATATGCTCGTATCGTGCGTTTCTCGATATGTTTGGGTCGTAGTCATTCATTTATTCAATAATTACTAAGTTTCTACGAAGAAAAACGTGCCGTCCCACGGGCAATTCATGAAAAAACAGCTCGTCGTCAACGTGTTAATTCGCACTACCCTTTCGATTACAGCATCGGTTTTATGCAGACAAGATATGGTAGACATTTATCTCTTTTGGTCATACATTTTCTATTCTCGACCAGTACCAGTTGTCGTCATTAGCAAGCATGACGTCCGCGGACGCGACAAATTACGATTCTCTTGCCATCTGCCCCTTCTGTGGAACCGGAGGTGCCTTTATACAAGTGCGGACATAGGAAGATTCATTACCTCGAAAAATAGGATGCGCCTACCCATCTGTAGTTCGACCTTAGTTCCGAAGGTCTCTTTTACAACCACTTCTAATCCCCTGCTTTTGTAGTGTTTTTCTTTGTTTCCTATCATAATCACAGTGTATAGTGAACTGCCTATAAATTTGCTAGTTATCAAAATCTTTTTTCTCAGAATTTCACTGTCATCTGTGGTTTGCTGCGGAGCAGTTCTGTGAGCGGCATTTTGATAGTGCTTCGTATAATAAACATTCCATTTCAGGAGATGGTCTCGTCCCGTGACGACCTCTATCGGTGTTGCCTTTGTAAGCGAGTGATGCGCTGGAAGAGTATCCGTTTGCATTTGCAAAACGTTCATCGGCTAACAAAAGAAGAAATTATGAACGTTAAATGTGATGGTGCACAAGAAATGACTCTGGCAGACGAGCAACAAAAGAGCTGGCAGATGTTCTGCCCCGTGTGCGAAGAGAAGGTTCCAGATCATTTCGTTCTGGCGATGCACTGCGAGAAGCTTCATCAAGATGTTGGAGCCTGCGGCCAGCCTCAAGACTATAAAGTGTTCACGAAGACATTTCGCACCGATATTGAATTTGAGGTATGTTGTTAAATGTCGTCACACGTGTCTTTTTTTGAGATCTTCGAAAGTCTTTTTGTCTCGAATGACCTCAGCATCATGAAACTGATATTAGTTGCATTTCATGGAGTAGTATTGTTGTGACTATCGAACCTCAGACTTTTCGACACCACTCAGCTATCCCAACTTGGAAACTCGAAGAAAGACCTCTGCTGGAACTTCGCCTGCGGGGTTAGTGGGTACCTCCGATTATGAGCACGAAATCCACTTTTGATACTGGGACCATTCGGCATCCATTGAGCGCGATTTTTTCTTTCATCTTAGTCGATAGATATCCATACTGGATTCTTGGCAACGTGATCACTGAAGTAGCATTTTCAGCGCTAGTGCCATTTGACGCCTTTCTTTTTCTCCCCAAACTGGCCGCATATCTGACCTGTGGGGTAGTTCACGGCCGTGAATGTGACAATTATTTTTTTGTCCTGGCACCATTTTGCTCCAGTTTTGCGCCATTGTTCTCCACCATATCCGCCATAAGCCCATGTAGTCGTAATCGACGTTCCTTGTCACGAGAACGACATCAGTTCTCCGGCGCCTTCACCATTTTCCGCTCTGCCAAGGTATGCCTACGTCATCCGTTACGTTAACAGGTCTTCCTGTATCAGTGCGGTTTCAAACCAAAGAGCGGTTGGCATGTCGATGATCGCGCCAATTACTCGCCATGAAACTAGGCGTCGCCCTCTGACGGTCGATGACGACATGGCTGAGTTTGGACACGGATCCTTCAGGCTCAGCCTCAACGGAGCCCGAGTAGCGTCGGCAGCGACCATTGAATGCCATTATCGTAATCAGGCACCTTCACCACACCAAATGGAAGTTTGTGGCGAACTCCATGAAAGATCGGGCGCCAAGAATAAAATTCATGTTCTTGAACAGGATGCTAAAGAACCTCGGAACGCAAGTTTTGTATCAATTTTGGTGAAAAGGCGGCGCCTAATGGCGGCGGCATCACAAATGAGTGTCATATTTCTGATCATGGTACTGAATAAGCTCAACAGACGATGTTTGAGCAAAAATAGAATCACGAATTCTTGGAATCGAAGTAGTTGAATAGTGCTGAATAGTATTAATAGTGCTGCACCTTTCCTGCATCGCATGTTCGGAAGAATGTGCGTTAGAAGAGATAGCTGGGGATCTATTGACTCCGATGGCTTGGGGATGGGCAGAAAAGGAGAATCGGAGAGTGGGAGTTGATAAATTCCATTATGCTCCCTTGAAGCGCATTCTCCCTAGTTGGCGCCTTCTCCTCTTCGTCTGTTTTTTTTTGTTTTTCGATTTGTAGCCTCGATCACCCTTCTTTGCAACGCATTCTCGACTGGCGATCACGGTTTGCGTCAGCGTTTCGGACTGTACGGGCAGCATTTTAATATAAAGCATCTACCAAATATAACCGGCTAAGCGCGCGTGCGTGCAGTGCGGTGTAATGTATGTATGTCTGTCTGCTCTGTCTGGGTGCGGGCACTTACCGAAGGTGGGGCGTGGCCACAGCAAGGCCTCGACATGGACCGGTGTTGCCGAAATTTCTGCCGCAATAGATATTAGACGGGAGCACCGCTTCCAAGGTAAATGCTCCCGCTGCCTTCAAGGTGTGCTTTAATATTTATCTTATGATCATACGTAAAGACCTGATGGCCTCATTTTTTGCCTCTGCCTAACTGTGTGGCCTTTAGAAAAAGCCTTAGTAATTCCCGTCTAAGTATTCGTCGTTTTGGAAGCTTCTTAGTTCAGCGAAGAAACAATATAGCTCTTGAACAAGAGAGAGAAATTGTCATCTCCAAGCTCAGAAAGAAGCGCTGAAGCCTAATTATATCCGTCCACGTCGAGTCCTCGCCCTACTTTGGCCACGCCCACCGGGTATCTAAAGTCCGCGTGCGCTAGCGTTTTCAACGACTAGGAAAGTGGCAGCAACGCGCGCTGATATACGTTCAAAACCCTGGCATACGCAAAGTATGAACGCTCTCTTATTCTTCATTGTCGCTTATTACAACGACCTGAATTCTAGAAAAGGTATTAATATTGCATTCAGAGACCCTTTGAATATTTCGGAGCGGACAGTACTGCAACCTCCACTTGTGTATTTTATGCATAAATTACCGTCAAGTCCACAGATCATTTTTTCTAGAAATGGCTCAGTGATGAGAGCGAGCGAAATTGTACGAGTTTAAGCCGTCGCACCAGTTCAGCAGATGGAAGTGAGATTAGTTTGAGGTATGGCTCGATCATGTATAGTGTAGTTCGCTGCGGACGGTTGGGCGTGTCAGGCGGGATGAGTTTGGCGCGGTGCCAAACCCGTTCTCCACCAGTTGTTAAAGCGAGCAAATGATATGACTGTATCATATCGTTCGTATTACTCGTTTTCTACCACTTTTTGTCGCATGCGCGCTTCAACAAGAAGGCAGAGAACGGCTTTGACGGGGTGACACACTCATACTGGCTGACACGCCCAACCGTCCGCAGCGAACTAGAGTGTACCATTTTTTCAGTTTCTCTTGTTCTTTATGGTGACATTGACTTCCTTGTACATAGAGTCCGCAGTGAGTTGTTCGCTTTGTATTCTTACTGCCACATTTGGGCTGCGCTCAGCCTGCGCGATGACGCGCTTGCTAATAGTGCGAATGCATGTTAACGATTTCCTGATTGTGCAAAGCCTTCCGTATTCCAAAGGCAACGATCCCGCGCTCAAACAATTTGTAGACGTCATTTCTTGTGCAGTAGTCCAGCACGCAGACTTGGAGAGTGCCCACCTTCGTAACTTCACAACGAGTGAGGAGGGAGTTATAGCCGTCGAAAGTTCTAGTTGTGAATCCCACTCAGTTGGACCGCCCACCCAGCGAACGTCCTCTTTACACCTAATGTAGCGGCGCTTAGATGTTGTTTGTTGGAGGGCAGAACTTGTTCATTTTTGTCGATCGCGCTCGTGCTCAAACGTTATTGTGCTCTCCTATATTACATCTCCTTCATTAAAAACACACCTAGTCAACAATAATCCCTCTCGCGAAATATAGACGGGTTGAATCCACTGCTGCTGCTGATTTGTGGACCAGGGGTCGCACAGGGGCTGCAGAGCATCGAGTTGTCAGCGATTTCCGAAAACTCGCACAGTGAGCTATATGACTGTAAGGGACCGCTTTCGCTTAGTGATCTTGGGGATTCCTTGTGCTTTTCTTTTCGAAGAAACACTTATCAGCTAACTACTGGTTCATGACTAAACACCGATTATCCACGGTATTTTATTGTGGTAATGATCTTATGGTTAGATAAGTATGAGTCCTCTTATAGTTCTCCAGAAGCTTTTTATTTCCATCGCTTCATGATTATTACTATTTCAGATGTCACAGATCTGGGAAGTATGTGAAGAAGTCGTTGAATGGAACCCGTAGTGCACAGAGCAAAAAACAAGTACAACACTGTTCGTGTTTCTTGAATGTGCGAATGGATGATTCCGGAGTTGTCACGGTCACAGGATGCTGGGGTCATATAGGACACAAGCTCGAAGCCAATCTTCTTCGTTTCTCCAGTTTGCAGGAGCTGTTTTTGAAGAGCCTTCTGGAAAGTATGGTAACAACATCTGGTTAAGCAAAGAGTCCT